TGTAAACAAAAACAAAAGAAGATGGAATTCGCAAGTTGACAAACAATGTCACGCACAGTTCTGCCACCACTGACACTTTAAAGAAACTAACAAATTATAATAAACTAGAAAAAGCCACCACACACGTATCAACAATCCATTGAATCGAAGTTTCACAGACAGTGTCGAGAGAGTATGAATCAGGATTGACGCATGCGCTTTAGCGGTATGAAGAAAACGGGCGGGCAGTATTCTGTAGGCGCTATTTTTTTTTTCGTATGGTGACCCTGTAACACGTTGCATTCATCCGTTCATTTAGTTGCTTCACGCATGTTTGCCCAGACACTGACACCTCGGTTTCCACATGTGATTACAAGAAACATGCCCTTTGGAATAAAACGGCAAGGTGCAGTTTTTGGAGTAAACCGACGTTCCACAGGTGTTCTTCACACCACATCATGTGCGTCACTGTTACTCTGACGCGATCCGATCTCATTGTTGGACTTTGTGTAATTTTTTGCACGAATGAGTCACGGCCATGGTTGGGAAACAATGGGAGCCAAGGGTTCCCATTTTTGCACAACAATAATCCCCGGCAATGCAGGTTGCCTACCCCCGCAGGAAAAAGGCGAAAGATGGACGAGCTCATAAGGTCTAAGAACGACGTTTACACCGAAGAGTCGGGTCACATATGAAGCCCACTAACTTAGAACCGAGGGTTTGATAATGTTGTGCTTGGTAAGGGGCGAAGCACAACGCATATTAGATGAGTATGAAGCACTAATGGAATGTATATTATTTTAATAGCTCTATTAAAGCACTAGTTGAATCAAGGAAGTTGTGAAGGACTGGATGTGTGGTTGGAATATGATAAAAGAGAAGTGTATAAAATTCTGGTGGGAAAAGTGAAGGCTTAGATGACCGAGACATTTATGAGAAAATAACATGGAAGTGGATCAATAGGTAACAGTCCTTTTTCTGTCATAAAATCGATTAATAGCTGGATAATCTGTGATTGATATATAATTAATCGATTAAAACAAAAACCTGTTTCATTCTGAAGATACTTGGAAATACGTCCAATAGAGGGCAAAATGAATGATTTCAGAGCCAAGTGGTTAGAACAACTACAGAGAATGGTGATGTTACGAGAATGCCAAAACAAGCATTCCAAGAAAAAAAAACATACGTTGGTAGTCCAAGAAAGAGATGAGAAAATAAAGTTTCGGCAGAAATATTTCCTACACTCTGACGTGAAAGATATTAATGACGATGATATTTAAACGTACTGATATGTCGAAAAGGTGGTTCAAAGACTACGCCTGTTATCCTTATAGAAGAACAAAAAAAAGTTCCAATATTTCTTAGTGGAAAACAACAGTCACTCCGTTTCTATGGGCCGACAAAATTTTCATGCCCAGTTTTTCTTCAGAAGAATGGCTACACTGTTTTATACCGACAAAGCTTCCCAACTACGATATCTCAGATCGAATACGTCTAAAGAACACAATGCACAAACAAAAGAATATTCTTCTGACAATAAATTAAGGTACAAGCTTCTCGCTCATAACATAAATGGCCTCGCTTTTCTGATCTTTCTGCTTTTTATAGGAACTTGAATCGAGTTTGACAGCCACTGAAAAACTAACTGACCAGACCAAACGCAGAATTGCGCTGTACCGGCCCTATTATAAAGCGTCGCTTGCTGATTAATGTACTTGTACTTGACAGTCGCAATTCGTACCAATGGAAATTGTGGGCAGAAATGTATCACTAGATTGTAAAATTATTAATTTATAATCCTCCCTGCTCTCGCCATACGGATGTGAAGGGAACGGACTTCATAAATACTTCTCAGAACTTTTTCTCTCATACAAGTACGACTTACTTGTTATATTATCTCACGAGATTTAGCGTCATACTAACAGCATGGTCGAGAACACTTTAAGACTAACGCCATTAGATGACGTCGGTTATGAGCATAACCTCCAAATTTTTCGAAGATACAGCTACCACCACGTCAGAATCTGGTTTGAAGTGGCAGCAGCGTCTCTAGAAACTCAGAACCTGGCGAGATCGTCATGTTGGTATTATTGGCGGTATGAAATTAAAAATCACAAAAATCGTGTGGCCTCTGTTGGTATGATGTTCATACCACATTTCATAAAAAAATTCACCAAGTGATTCAGAAGTTAGCATGAGCTAGACTTCCCTTAAGGGGGGTTCACACGGAGTCGTGGACCGGGCGAGAACACGACCAAGAGGACCGGAGGTCGTGCTCACTACCGAGTGGGAACTAGTGGTCGTCGCACAGTTGGTAGTATACGACCTTGAAGCCAGCGGTCGTAACCACTCCGGCATGTTGGAGTGATCACGACCAAGTCAGTCGTGCGCCATTTTCGAACACGTGACTCTGAAGGCGAGAAGCATTTGCGAAGTCAAGTGAGAACTGGAGACGGGCGTTATTAAGCAGGTCGTGTGAACCCCCCCTTTAGAAATAAGGAAAGTCGTGTACAAATAGACATCAATGTGGGTTCCGTCGTAATAGATCTACAAGTGATCAAATTTTCTACATTCGCCAGATACTAGAGAAAAACTGGGAGTACATTGGGACAGTAAATCAACTATTCATGACTTCAAGAAAGCTTATGACTCAGTTAAAAGAGAAACTCTATACAACATTTTGCTTAAATTTGGTGTACCTAAGAAGCTACTCAGGCTAATTCAAATGTGTTTAAAACCTCCAGCAAAATTAGTTTGCCCGATACATTTCGTACTCAGAATGACCTGAAACAGGGAGATGCTCTGTCACTCGTGCTTTTCAATTTTGCCTTAGAAGGAAGTCCAAGAATTGAATGGGACACATCAGCTTTCGGTCTAGGCTGATGATATTAATGTTTTAGGCGATAATATAAATACTATAAAAGCGAACACAGAAACACTCTTAACGGCTAGTAGGAATGTTGGTTTAGAAATAAATGCAGAAAAAACAAAGTCGGCATCACAATTCAGGACAGCACCCGAATGTAAGGATAGCTAATAAATCGTTCGAAAAATGTGACAAAAATTCAAGTACGTGGGGACGACGCTGACAAGTCAGAATGAGCAGATGAAATTCAGGGAATGCTTGTTATCATTCAGTCCAAAATCTTATGTCTTCCCGTCTCATAAAAAACAACAATTAAATATTAAAATATACAGAAGTGTAATTTTGCCAGTTGTGCTGAATCGGTGCGAAACACTCTCTCTCTCTCTCTCTCTCTCTCTCTCACACACACACACACACACACTCTGAATGAGGGACATAGACTGAAGGTCTTTGAAAACGTAGTGTCGAGGAAGATATTTGAACATGAAAGGGAGGGAGACGGACCATGGAGAAAATTGCATAATGATGAGATTCACGGCTTGTACTCCTCACCGGATATTATCAGGGCAATTAAATCGAGGAGGATGAGGTGGGCGGGACATACGTTACTCATGGGGGAGGAGACAGCTAGGAAAACCTGGAAGGATAACATTAAGATGGACCTTATGGAGATAGAAATAGATGGAGCGAACTGGATGCAACTAGCTCAGGACAGAGTCCGGTGGCGGGCTTGTGTCAACACGGCGATGAACCTACGGGTTCCATAAAGAAGGTGGGCTATTCTTTGACAAGTCGAGTATACAGCCGACTTTTGAAAGAATATCCTGCACCACAGACTGAGTGTACAAGTAGAAAGTCTTATTCATACAGCAGCGTACAATTGTAAAATTTCGATATCCATGTGCCACAGTAAACGAAGATTCTTCTTAATGTCCATTCCACACAACTAAATTAAATTCACAGATACGCAACTAAAATCTCATCAAATTTTAAACTGAAATTTGGCACCTACCCCTATAATCACCTATATCTAGACATAGGGGTCATGAAAATGATAGTTTCCATGACTGCTGTTGGATGTTGGCTCATTTTACTGATGAGATATGGAATACTACGAGTCCTTTTTTGCTGTGACCGCTAAATTTTTCAAGGGAGCCTGTAAATATTATACCAATTACTTACTTTAGCGATGTTTAAGTCTGGATTTGATTGGCAGTTGTTTTAGATTTTACTTACCGAATGCAATAAGGGCTCGTATCAACACCACACAAACTTCGTGGCACATTTCATACAGGACACATTCTTCGACTTCTGTTTATTTAACATTTATTATCTTTCAAAATGATTACTAGATGGAATCTGTAAAACTGATATCTTCGGACGCAACATTGAAGTATTTCAGACATTTTGTACAATACGCTCATCGGGGTCACCAACATTCCAGAAAAACAAAACAACTTTGCAACGTTACATAATTTTTATTAATTCGTCTTTGTGAAAGATGGCAGCACAATACATCAGTGGATGTATAGTATGCTATCTAGCGTCATACTGTAGAATCTATTTCATTAACTAGTGTCAGACGCTCGTCTTAAATTGCGTATTTGCTAAACTAAAATGTCCTTCAGTTTGAGCCGGACACTTCATAATTAAAAAGCATACTTTCTTTAAGGGGCTTTTCCGGATTTTAGTTTTTACTTCGTGTATAGCACAGGGATTTAGGGAAGAAGTAATCTTCTAACTCAATAGCCATCACCAACTAGTTGAATCCCCAGACTCTCCATCCACATAAGGTTATCAGCTTTCACCCTTTGTCAACACCAACTTAGCAGTGTTTCCTGCTTAGGGACATCTCAACTTCCTTGTCCCACCAAGGATTACCTGGCCCTGAAAACATCTTGTGTGTGCGGAATACCCTGTGGCTTTAGGATCCTGAACAGACAGGATATTCCACTGAGACCAAGGTCAGCAAGCACCACTTAAATTTCAATCTTTATTATCCCAAGACGCCAGCTGCTGTGGAACACAGATTACCTTGGGCTATCCTAGCAAAAAATTCAGGTGCATAGACTGCAACATGACCACTCTGATTCATAACCAAAGTTCTCCAAGTTATTTGTACATACTTTATAAAATAGTGAAACAATTTACATATTTTACAACCATTTTATTAGAGTTCTAAGAAACAAATATGTACAAATCCTTTATTATGAACTCATTACACACATAAAAAAAAAGGTATTCTATTTCACATACAAATTTTAATACACGTTCTCTCCTTACCATTTACACAACAAAAAGGGTGAAAAACGTCTTTAACTCTCAACGTACGTAACACATCATTCAGTATCAATCATATTTTAAACTTTTAATGAATCTTTTGTCTGTGCTTTGGATATGGCTACCATACATTTTGTCTCTGGAAATTTTCACCAGTCTGCACACATTTAATGTGCAAGTCTAACTTCAAACAGCATCAACTCATATAAGTTTAAACTGTAGCAAGAAACATACAAACAAAAGTTCTTACATACTAAGAACATAAAAACTATGCCAACTCAGGTTGTACTTTCATACAAATCCACAGTTTATATTTTACGAAGACACCAATCGAGTGTCAAAAACTGTTGTCTAATGTTGCACAAAAACTTTACCAACGAAAGCAAACAAAGGAGAAAAGTGGGCGGGAAGAAAAAGATACATTAAAAATAAGGTGCCAAAACTTTACAGCTTTCACAATATGGTTCTGGAAAAGACTACGTAGCGACACAGCATCCAAAGCCAACCAAGGAGGATGGATGCCTTTTGTTCCTTACAATTTTAAAAAATCAGGTTATTTGACTAAATAGACGTAAGAAACCAGGTACAAGAGATTAAGGTGCAATGGGTCTGATGAGATAGCATGCAGCCTAACGACAGTACATGCCTCTGAAAATAATTATCATGTTAAAAAGTCAATATGTAATATACAACTTAGACATTTGCTGTATTACCAGAAGATTAATAAAGAAAACTACACGCGAAGTCTCATAGTCAGAGAAAAATAAGTCGAAACTATTAAGCACTTCAAAGCCACCTTAATAACATACATGCCCCCATCAACAGTTACAATCCCACATGATAAGAGCACAATTTCTTGACAACTGACTCAGGAAAGCTGATGAATTAGAATGTAAGGTTGGTAAACTTATTTCTTGCAGGCATCTTCGACTTTCTCAATACACATTGTATTCACTGTTCAGATAATGAAATTTCAAAAGTCACAATTTAATGTAGCAGGTCATGGACAGCTGAAAACAACTTCATGATAGCGTGTTCAGCTAAGGAGTTCATTTTTCTCCACCATGAAACACTTTAAGGGTGCAGACCATAATGCTACTTGCCATGGCCATTGTTGCGTGCTTGCCCACAGTCATCAGCCGAAACGTTGTCAAACAGATCGTGCTCCCAGTGGGGTGAACTCGGCCTAGTAGTATACCCTGCAACCAGAGCCCAGTAATTTATTAGTGAATACTTATTTAAAAAATTTCATTTCCATGCCGAGCAATATTTGTAATTAACCCTTCCCACTTTTATTCAAACATTCCCCTAATCTGTGACATTTTTAATCTGGGCTCACTATGTAACTATTGTGGGAGAGCATGTTACAAAAATTAGTTACGCTAAATACTGCAAACGGTATCTTACGCCTCAGATGTTAGACACTAGAACATGGTAAAACCTGTCAGCATAACCTCAAGAGCGATGCTACTCTGTTTAATGGACATAATGAAATTAGTAGCCAGGAACAAATAAGACAAAACCTGTACTTTCACATTAAGTCCAAGTTTAAAACCGACTAACTCTGGTCAAAGAACCTCGAAGCTTCAAAGCCTGTAATACCAAAGTCTGCTATTGGAATTGACCCTGAAACAGTTTAATTCTTCATAACATACACAAATCAAGATCATGGAGTGCAGATCACGAGCTACATATAAACACACAAAATATGTTGAAAAACCGAGCTTCGCTATTTGAACATCAACGTTTTTCATCTGAAAATTTCTGTTCTTAGTTTAAGGTGTTCCTTTAGTAAAAGAAATTATCACTGAGGTCAGAAAATGAACTATATTTTCATCTCAGAAATAGGGCATCATGTGGATTCCTTTCACAATGGAAAGCACATTTATATTCTGGGGTGTAAATGCAATGCAAGACATAAAATCACTCATTATAGTTGGGGGGGGGCTGAATACCATCACCCTGAACAGTACCTGTTACATCCACAAGCAAACCTAGAATCACTAGTGTAACATTATATGTTCTATCACAACCCAGATTCAACAAGTTACTTGACTGTAATTTCAGGGGATATGCAATCTTTAAAGTATTTCTGAAATTAAACACAGCAGTAAGACCTTCAACCTAGCAGGAGCCCCAAAAATAACAAAGCTTTTATAAACACAAGTTCTATTGGTCACCTTATACAGAAATATATGGCCACACCCCACAAACTACAGTCCACGACTGTAATCTTGAGATTTGCAAGGAATGCAGTAAGTCCGGAGCGTTAAAGGCAGACGCTACCTTTCCTCCTTCACCCCGCAAGTCTCTAGATTACAGTCGCGGACTGTAGATGCTGATGTTGTCTATTATGTTAGTTGCAAAATGTCCAAAACCAATTTGAAATTGAATGATGTCTCAAAAATGCATAGTGCTTTGAAAAGAGCCTTATACAGCCCCATTCTTATGGAAGACTTTATTTCCATTACAAAACAGTGAAATGAGCCATTTGGAACAATAATCAACCCTCTCAAGAACCTCGACACATGATGATTCTAACAAAATGTGATAAATTATTAGATGATGAACAAAGCAAAATGCCTTATGTTTCTTGAAAACCAAGTTCAATTGACCATAAATTTGTCTTCTCCACAAAGTAAAAATCTATCAACAATAAAATTCAAACAAGTACTTTTTATTTTGCTTCTTATTCTCTGGTGACAGAAGAGAAGCAATTAAAAGCTGCTGGGTCTGAAATATTTATGGTTTATCTGGCAACATGACATCTCAATCTCTGTTTGAGGGAATGGTGGGGAGAGGAATATTTCAAGTAGAGAATTGATTGAAATGGAAGATCCATAAACGTGTATCTGTAAAAAAATAGGTCTATTTCAGCCAATTTTTTTAGAAAACTGTAAATTCTGAAACCACATGAGAGACTATAAGAATGATGTAAGAATATACAATCATGATAAATCCTGTTTTCATCACCCTGATGACGGAGGCAGCATGACCTCTGAAACGTCGGTAAACTTTGACCAGACTACACAGCACAACAGCCCAGAAGACAGAGATCTTCATGATAAATCCTGTTAAAATAATTATGGGGAGACGCAGAATGTCTAATCCATCAGCATTTATTTTCTTATATGTATCTGAGAAGCTTCAAGTTTTCCGTTATTCCATACCATACAATCCCCAAAGTAAACTACAAACACATACAAAAATATGGCAATCCTAGAGCACCAAAATCTAAAAAAGCACAGAATTCCAAATTCAGACAGCAAAATAAAAAACATGAATACATAAAATACTTCCCCAGCATTTGACTGCACAATCATTTAAAGCTCTTTTAAAAGCTAATAATATGGAAATAAGCTTATATATTACAAAGATACTAAACATTTTGCAATCTGTAGTTGGTACATTGCTGTTCGCTACAAATATTAAAACAAAAAGTGGCAGTTGTCTGATGAAAAGGAACTACAAACAATTGAGTGGAACATAACTACCTGGAGTAAGAACAAAACTTAATAAAACAAAATTGCTACAATGGATATTATTAACATGGTTCAGAGCTTACGTAGCCACGTGCAGACATTCCTAATTGACATGGACTAATAAGTCATATTTATAAACATTTCACAACAAAAAATTTTACTTTTTACAAAATTAAGTCAAATAAACATAAGACCTTACAAAATTCAACAGAATGTTTTGCTATTTGCTGCACTCCAATAAAAGCATATATTTTAAGACAACAAAACAATGAACATCAAGACTGCTACAAAATAATTTAACAATAAATCAAGAAGTGGTGAAATGAAATTCATATTCAAATAAAGCTGATCATAACTGTTCATATCTGAAAACAATATATGGCTCCCGTGAAAGATGTAAAAAGTTTATAATGAGTCATGTTCCACTCACTGTTTGAGACTGTCAATCTCATTCCTTCTCAAGAACTTCCCCCCCCCCCCCCCCTCCCCTCCCAGTTCACTGTTGGTGTTAAGTGATGTTGACGACAATCCAGAAGTTTGTAGTCATCATGCTCGGTAGTGTCGCTCACGAGGACCATGGTCCAGGTTGAAGTCAGGGGAAGACTTACGTGGTGCGTATCCTCGTCGACCACGACCCATAAAATTCCGTGTCGGTGCTCCACCTCTGAAAGGTCGTCCACGCATCGTACCACGACCGTGCGTCCCCGAGCCTCGCTGACCCATACCACGACTTCGTCCTCTCATAAATTCATCATCCCGGTTGTCATGCTGCTAACAATATATCTTATTACACATTCAGCATCTGGCTTTTTGACATACACATCTTACAGGTTCCCTGTATTAAACTACCATCATCCATGACAGAAAACAACATAGACTGGAAGTGATGTAAATGAAACTGCTAAAGCAATGGGTACTTCAAGGGTTCCTGTTTTAAAATTTTAAAGGATCAAAACAACTCGTCTTTAAATGAGGGAAAGCTTTAGATACATTTAAATAAGGTATTCACTGTACAATTTCAAAATAAAATGTATTAACTGAAACAGGAATAATTTTAGTATCCAGTGTTGTAAACAATAAAAGGTAAAAGTTGTCATGAGTCTCACTTCAAAATAGGCCCGTCCTTTGGGTACATGTTCAGGATTTAAATCCCAGGATTTGTAATGGAATCTATCGGATCGCTGATTGGAAAATTCTGGTGCTTCTTGATGGAATGTGCTTGGCACATCATCATGACGATTTGTTGGTCCTCCATGATGCATCATTCGTCCTCCTCCATCACTACGCATTTTACCATCTCCCATTGAGTGACCAAATCCATCCCCTGGTCCTAATAACAAAGGCAGACATACCATTACATTCTAAAGGAAAAAAATCAATAAAGACAATGCAACAGATTTACATTGACAAATATTTGGTAATGAGTACGAATTCATAACATTTCAATACTTTCAATTATTACTTACCCCTTCTTCTTTCAATGCCTGGTGGGGAGGGCTGAATTATGCCCCTGTGAGACCTTTC